TCCTCTCTTCAACAAAGTACTTCCTCTCTTCATCAAGATGCTTCCTCTCTTCATCAAATGCTTCCTCTTCTTCAAAGTACTTCCTCTCTTCATCAAGTGCTTCCTCTCTTCATCAAGATGCTTCCTCTCTTCATCAAGTGCTTCCTCTCTTCATCTGAGCTTCCTCTCTTCAACAAAGTACTTCCTCTCTTCTCAAGATGCTTCCTCTCTTCAACAAAGTACTTCCTCTCTTCATCAAGATGCTTCCTCTCTTCATCAAGTGCTTCCTCTCTTCATCAAGTGCTTCCTCTCTCTCATCAATGAGCTTCCTCTCTTCATCAAGTGCTTCCTCTCTTCATCAAAGTACTTCCTCTCTTCATCAAGATGCTTCTCTCTTCTTCAGAGCTTCCTCTCTTCATCAAAGTACTTCCTCTCTTCATCAAGATGCTTCCTCTCTTCAACAAAGTACTTCCTCTCTTCATCAAGTGCTTCCTCTCTTCAACAAAGTACTTCCTCTCTTCATCAAGATGCTTCCTCTCTTCTTCAAAGTACTTCCTCTCTTCATCAAGATGCTTCCTCTCTTCAACAAAGTACTTCCTCTCTTCATCAAGTGCTTCCTTCTTCTTCAAAGTACTTCCTCTCTTTCAAGATGCTTCCTCTCTTCAACAAAGTGCTTCCTCTCTTCATCAAATGCTTCCTCTCTTCTTCAAAGTACTTCCTCTCTTCATCAAGTGCTTCCTCTCTTCATCAAAGTGCTTCCTCTCTTCATCAAGTGCTTCCTCTCTTCATCAAGTGCTTCCTCTCTTCATCAAGATGCTTCCTCTCTTCAACAAAGTGCTTCCTCTCTTCATCAAGATGCTTCCTCTCTTCTTCAAAGTACTTCCTCTCTTCATCAAGATGCTTCCTCTCTTCAACAAAGTACTTCCTCTCTTCATAAGATGCTTCCTCTCTTCAACAAGTGCTTCCTCTCTTCTTCAAAGTACTTCCTCTCTTCATCAAGTGCTTCCTCTCTTCAACAAAGTACTTCCTCTCTTCATCAAGTGCTTCCTCTCTTCATCAAGTGCTTCCTCTCTTCATCAAGATGCTTCCTCCTCATCAACATCATGCTTCCTCTCTTCATCAAGTGCTTCCTCTCTTCAACAAAGTACTTCCTCTCTTCATCAAGTGCTTCCTCTCTTCTTCAAAGTACTTCCTCTCTTCATCAAGGTGCTTCCTCTCTTCATCAAGTGCTTCCTCTCTTCATCAAGATGCTTCCTCTCTTCAACAAAGTGCTTCCTCTCTTCATCAAGATGCTTCCTCTCTTCAACAAAGTACTTCCTCTCTTCATCAAGATGCTTCCTCTCTTCAACAAAGTACTTCCTCTCTTCATCAAGATGCTTCCTCTCTTCATCAAAGTGCTTCCTCTCTTCTTCAAAGTACTTCCTCTCTTCATCAAGTGCTTCCTCTCTTCATCAAGATGCTTCCTCTCTTCATCAAGTGCTTCCTCTCTTCATCAAGTGCTTCCTCTCTCATGCATCCATCAGAGCTTCCTCTCTTCATCAAGTGCTTCCTCTCTTCATCAAAGTACTTCCTCTCTTCTCAAGATAGCTTCCTCTCTTCATCAAGTGCTTCCTCTCTTCATCAAGATGCTTCCTCTCTTCACAAGTACTTCCTCTCTTATCAAGTGCTTCCTCTCTTCAACAAAGTGCTTCCTCTCTTCATCAAGATGCTTCCTCTCTTCTTCAAAGTGCTTCCTCTCTTCTTCAAGTACTTCCTCTCTTCTTCAAAGTACTTCCTCTCTTCATCAAGTGCTTCCTCTCTTCATCAAAGTGCTTCCTCTCTTCATCAAGTGCTTCTCTTCTTCAAAGTACTTCCTCTCTTCATCAAAGTGCTTCCTCTCTTCATCAAGTGCTTCCTCTCTTCATCAAGGTGCTTCCTCTCTTCATCAAGTGCTTCCTCCTCTTCATCATCAGCAGCTTCCTCTCTTCATCAAGTGCTTCCTCTCTTCAACAAATACTTCCTCTCTTGATCAAGTGCTTCCTCTCTCTTCAAAGTACTTCCTCTCTTCATCAAGTGCTTCCTCTCTTCATCAAAGTGCTTCCTCTCTTCATCAAGATGCTTCCTCTCTTCACAAAGTGCTTCCTCTCTTCATCAAATGCTTCCTCTCTTCACAAGTACTTCCTCTCTTCATCAAGATGCTTCCTCTCTTCAACAAAGTACTTCCTCTCTTCATCAAGTGCTTCCTCTCTTCATCAAGTGCTTCCTCTTCTTCAAAGTACTTCCTCTCTTCATCAAGTGCTTCCTCTCTTCATCAAGATGCTTCCTCTCTTCATCAAGTGCTTCCTCTCTTGATCAAGTGCTTCCTCTCTTCTTCAAAGTACTTCCTCTCTTCATCAAGTGCTTCCTCTCTTCATCAAAGTGCTTCCTCTCTTCATCAAGATGCTTCCTCTCTTCATCAAGTGCTTCCTCTCTTCATCAAGATGCTTCCTCTCTTCAACAAAGTACTTCCTCTCTTCATCAAGATGCTTCCTCTCTTCAACAAAGTACTTCCTCTCTTCATAAGATGCTTCCTCTCTTCATCAAGTACTTCCTCTCTTCTTCAAAGTACTTCCTCTCTTCATCAAGATGCTTCCTCTCTTCATCAAGATGCTTCCTCTCTTCATCAAGTGCTTCCTCTCTTCATCAAGTGCTTCCTCTCTCATGCATCATGCTTCCTCTCTTCATCAAGTGCTTCCTCTCTTCATCAAGTACTTCCTCTCTTCATCAAGATGCTTCCTCTCTTCATATGTGCTTCCTCTCTTCAACAAAGTACTTCCTCTCTTCATCAAGATGCTTCCTCTCTTCAACAAAGTACTTCCTCTCTTCATCAAGTGCTTCCTCTCTTTCAAAGTACTTCCTCTCTTCATCAAGATGCTTCCTCTCTTCACAAAGTACTTCCTCTCTTCATCAAGATGCTTCCTCTCTTCAACAAAGTACTTCCTCTCTTCATCAAGGTGCTTCCTCTCTTCACAAAGTGCTTCCTCTCTTCTTCAAGTACTTCCTCTCTTCATCAAGTGCTTCCTCTCTTCATCAAGTGCTTCCTCTCTTCATCAAGTGCTTCCTCTCTTCATCAAGTGCTTCCTCTCTTCATCAAGATGCTTCCTCTCTTCATCAATGCTTCCTCTCTTCATCAAGTGCTTCCTCTCTTCAACAAAGTACTTCCTCTCTTGATCAAGGTGCTTCCTCTCTTCTTCAAAGTACTTCCTCTCTTCATCAAGTGCTTCCTCTCTTCATCAAAGTGCTTCCTCTCTTCATCAAGATGCTTCCTCTCTTCATCAAAGTGCTTCCTCTCTTCATCAAGATGCTTCCTCTCTTCAACAAAGTACTTCCTCTCTTCATCAAGATGCTTCCTCTCTTCAACAAAGTACTTCCTCTCTTCATCAAGATGCTTCCTCTCTTCAACAAAGTACTTCCTCTCTTCATCAAGGTGCTTCCTCTCTTCATCAAGATGCTTCCTCTCTTCTTCAAAGTACTTCCTCTCTTCATCAAGTGCTTCCTCTCTTCATCAAGTGCTTCCTCTCTTCATCAAGTGCTTCCTCTCTTCATCAAGTGCTTCCTCTCATCATGCTTCCATCTGCACTTCCTCTCTTCATCAAGTGCTTCCTCTCTTCATCAAGTACTTCCTCTCTTCTCAAGATAGCTTCCTCTCTTCATCAAGAGCTTCCTCTCTTCAACAAAGTACTTCCTCTCTTCTCAATCAGCTTCCTCTCTTCAACAAAGTACTTCCTCTCTTCATCAAGATGCTTCCTCTCTTCAACAAGTACTTCCTCTCTTCATCAAGATGCTTCCTCTCTTCAACAAAGTGCTTCCTCTCTTCATCAAGTGCTTCCTCTCTTCTTCAAAGTACTTCCTCTCTTCATCAAGTGCTTCCTCTCTTCAACAAGTGCTTCCTCTCTTCATCAAGTGCTTCCTCTCTTCTTCAAAGTACTTCCTCTCTTCATCAAGTGCTTCCTCTCTTCAACAAAGTGCTTCCTCTCTTCATCAAGTGCTTCCTCTCTTCAACAAAGTACTTCCTCTCTTCATCAAGATGCTTCCTCTCTTCAACAAAGTACTTCCTCTCTTCATCAAGTGCTTCCTCTCTTCATCAAAGTGCTTCCTCTCTTCTTCAAAGTACTTCCTCTCTTCACAAGTGCTTCCTCTCTTCATCAAGTGCTTCCTCTCTTCTTCAAAGTACTTCCTCTCTTGATCAAGATGCTTCCTCTCTTCAACAAAGTGCTTCCTCTCTTCAAGTACTTCCTCTCTTCAAAGTACTTCCTCTCTTCATCAAGTGCTTCCTCTCTTCATCAAGTGCTTCCTCTCTTCATCAAGATGCTTCCTCTCTTCAACAAAGTGCTTCCTCTCTTCTTCAAGTGCTTCCTCTCTTCAACAAAGTACTTCCTCTCTTCATCAAGTGCTTCCTCTCTTCACAAAGTGCTTCTCTCTCTTCACAAGTGCTTCCTCCTTCTTCAAAGTACTTCCTCTCTTCATCAAGTGCTTCCTCTCTTCATCAAGTGCTTCCTCTCTTCATCAAGTGCTTCCTCTCTTCAACAAAGTACTTCCTCTCTTCATCAAGATGCTTCCTCTCTTCAACAAAGTACTTCCTCTCTTCATCAAGTGCTTCCTCTCTTCAACAAAGTGCTTCCTCTCTTCATCAAAGACTTCCTCTCTTCACAAAGTGCTTCCTCTCTTCATCAAGTGCTTCCTCTCTTCTTCAAAGTACTTCCTCTCTTCATCAAGATGCTTCCTCTCTTCAACAAAGTGCTTCCTCTCTTCATCAAATGCTTCCTCTCTTCTTCAAAGTACTTCCTCTCTTCATCAAGTGCTTCCTCTCTTCATCAAAGTCTTCCTCTCTTCATCAAGATGCTTCCTCTCTTCAACAAAGTGCTTCTCTCTTCTTCAAGTACTTCCTCTCTTCAACAAAGTACTTCCTCTCTTCATCAAGTGCTTCCTCTCTTCAACAAAGTGCTTCCTCTCTTCTTCAAGTGCTTCCTCTCTTCATCAAGTACTTCCTCTCTTCTTCAAAGTACTTCCTCTCTTCATCAAGTGCTTCCTCTCTTCATCAAGATGCTTCCTCTCTTCATCAAGTGCTTCCTCTCTTCATCAAGTGCTTCCTCTCTTCAACAAAGTACTTCCTCTCTTCATCAAGTGCTTCCTCTCTTCATCAAGTGCTTCCTCTCTCTCATCAAGAGCTTCCTCTCTTCATCAAGTGCTTCCTCTCTTCAACAAAGTACTTCCTCTCTTGATCAAGTGCTTCCTCTCTTCTTCAAAGTACTTCCTCTCTTCATCAAGTGCTTCCTCTCTTCATCAAAGTGCTTCCTCTCTTCATCAAGATGCTTCCTCTCTTCACAAAGTGCTTCCTCTCTTCATCAAGATGCTTCCTCTCTTCACAAAGTACTTCCTCTCTTCATCAAGTGCTTCCTCTCTTCAACAAAGTACTTCCTCTCTTCATCAAGTGCTTCCTCTCTTCATCAAGATGCTTCCTCTCTCTTCAAGTACTTCCTCTCTTCATCAAGATGCTTCCTCTCTTCATCAAGATGCTTCCTCTCTTCATCAAGTGCTTCCTCTCTTCATCAAGTGCTTCCTCCTCATCATCATCCAAGTAGCTTCCTCTCTTCATCAAGTGCTTCCTCTCTTCTCAAAGTACTTCCTCTCTTCTCAAGTGCTTCCTCTCTTCATCATGCAGCTTCCTCTCTTCAACAAAGTACTTCCTCTCTTCTCAATCAATGCTTCCTCTCTTCAACAAAGTACTCCTCTCTTCATCAAGATGCTTCCTCTCTTCAAAGTACTTCCTCTCTTCATCAAGATGCTTCCTCTCTTCTTCAAGTACTTCCTCTTCTTCATCAAGTGCTTCCTCTCTTCA